GGGGGGGGGGGGTTACAGGAGAAACTTTCCCTTGAGCTGCATCCCAGCCCTAGGGGTTATGATTACTTCTTATAATTGCTATTTCTGTATTCTTTAAAATCTCTATTTACTTCTTACTAGGTGATCCCTCATTACCGCAATCCTCTGTTATAGGTAGTAATTCCTTATATTAAACTTCCCTGTTCAGATTACTGTGTGGTTTCTGCTTCCAGGCCAGTGCTGACTGATACATACTTCCTCATAGATTTTAAAATAACAACTAGCCCGGCCGGGTGTGGCTCAGTGGTTGAGCATCGACCTAGGATCCAGGCGATCAGGGTTCGATTCCCGGTCAGGGCACATGCCCAGGTTGCGGGCTCGATCAAAGACTCTCTCATCATTGATGTTTCTATCTCTCTCTCTCTCCCTCTCCTTTCCTCTCTCTGAAATCAATAAAGATATATTTTTTTTTAAAATTAAAGTAACAACTAAAATATCTTATCAAAACTTTAAATAGTTGAAAAAGATTAATTTTCTGGCATTATATATATATAATTACATGTTTATAATATTTTTTTGAAAACTTAGAGCTATATATTTAGATCCTTTAATGAATGGAGAAGGCCACATATAACCTAATTTGCTAAGGCAGTCCTGTCTGTCTTACTATCAACCAAATCAGACTTATTATCTGTCCCAAAAAAGACTTCTATTTTTTTCAATTTGAATAAATATGTAAATATACTGACATATGTTTTCATAACAATCATCTCACTTAAGTACACTAGTAGAAAATGGACAGACAGCCGTGGCCAGTAGGACTTGGTGGTTAGAGAGCCAGCCCACACACTGGAGGGTCATGGGTTTGATTCCTGGTCAAGGGCAGGTACCTGGGTTGCAGGTTGGATCCTCAGCCATGGAGTGGGGGGGGGAGGGTGAGGCAACCAATCAATGTGTCTTTCTCACATCGATGTTTCTTTCTCTCTCCCCTCCCCGGCCACCCTTCCACTCTCTCTCTGAAAATCAATGGGAAAAATCATCCTCAGGTGAGGATTTAAAAAAAAGAAAGAAAATGGAAAGACTGACAACAGATGGAGAGCTAAAGAGGCAGACAGTAGGCAAACAGACTGAGCCTTGCCCAGAAGAAATAATATTTCAATAATTTTTTACCAGTTCAATATTTTTTGCCCTGCTTTCAGAAGCAATGCTATTGTTTTGCTTTATGCCTTAGAGATTTTATCCTGAGACAGTAAGTCATAGTAAGACTTGGGATGAGTGAATGCTATGGTATCTTTTGTGAAGTGGGAGAAGGGTGATTATGATAAAGGAGACAGGAAAGAAGAAGTGGCTGACCACAGGCTCTCAGACTCATCAGTTTCAGGAGAGTACGCACAGAAGCTGAGGACCGGAAAATTGATTCCCTCAAAACTGTCCATGCTCTGTGGTCCCTGGAAGGTTCTCCAGTATGAAGACAGCAACACCACGTCAATGAACTACCATTCTACAGGAGAAGCTAAAGCAGGGATATTTTTCCCCCTAAAGCTGATAAGAAATCAAGTAAGGACAATTTTTAAAAAGTATAACAACAATATTAAACCATATTCCATAAAAACTTAGAAAATAGAAGCTTTCCTTACAAGAATGCTAAAGGAAACAGAGGCAATAGCCAGTCAAATGTGAAAGTCCCTGACCCCCGCCAGTACCTATATTTGGATAAGGGTCTTGCTTTTAGTTTTCATGACTCAAAATCTCACATGGGTTAAATCCTTCATTCACAGTGGTTCTGCTTCTTATTTAAAACAATAAGTTTTCCTCATATCCATTAGTTCATTGAATCGCATGATAAAAAAAGAGGTGGAGAAGCTTAAACAAAAAGCAAAGGGGATGTGGCCAATTTTTACCATTTGGGATAGTAACAAGTTTAACATGGCTCAGCAACTATTTTAAGTGTTATATCAACCATTATGACACACACTAAAGGTGTTGAAATATAAGGATGTGTTTTCTGAGAGAAAATGGGTGACAATTTGAAGGGCTGGGTTTTTAACATGAAGAATAAATATCTAAGAAATCAGAACAGATTCTCAACCAACACTAATGTGCAAAAAGGTTTACACAAGCTAAGAAGGGTTTTAAACTTTTAAAAAAATTTTTCAAGGAAACTACTGTTTCCTGTTATTTCTAAAAAAAAAAAAAAATCTGTAAACGTTAGTGTTTTAAAAGGGAAACATTTATGGAGAGATATTATGTTTTATATGCTACACATATTAGATTCTTGTTTGTTCATTTCCCCAAGAAATTTGTAATTTTGTTTTAAATACATGACATTTAATCTCAATTTAGATTTCTCTCTTTTTATTACCCAAAATCAGCATCCCCATGGGAAGTACAGGGCTTCTAGGATTTTCTCCACAGAGATTATTGAATTTGTGGTAAAAATTTTCCATTCTTGAATAAGATCCATAATCTACAGAATACATTGTCTGAATTAACTATTTTGATGGGAAAGTCTATGCACTGCCTGTTTTACTGAGATCTTTAAAATAAAGATTTTGGGCCAATGCAAAATCTGTTAAACTCGTATTACATAATTTGCTTATATCTGCACAAGTATCTGTTATCACTCGCATGTTACTTTCAATACTGGTATTGCCCTTCGTGAGTAAGTATGAATAACCGACTTGGTGGATATTACTCAATCTGAAGGATCACATGAAGAACTTTCATTATGGTCCAATAAATATATTTAGGGCCATCACTTGCTGGTAGAAATTTGAATAAAATACAGAAATATTTTTACACTCACCAAAATCTCTTTGCTCTGCTAAGCACCAGGTTTACTGCAATGAACATGTTAATGGTGGGTATTTGAAAGATATAACTAGTGCAAAATCAATAATTACTTTTCTTTTGTGGGAGGGAAACAGAAAAAAGAATATTTGAGTAATGTAAAGATTCTAATATGAACAAGCACTAACTAGTCTGTTGCCATCTGTGATGTGTCCATAGCCAGAGGTTTGTAACACACTTACCTGAACAATGGAGTTCCACAGACAACACATTTATATATTCCAGGGTCTTTGTGATGCGTATATTCTCCTTCAAAGGCACTGATAAACAATAAACACAGCATTAAAAAAATTAAGTGAAGTTAGCATTATTTCGTACAGAATGCATTTGCTTAAAATATATTTCTCTAATAAATCTTTCAAGGGCTTTTTGTCCTATAATGAGAACAGACCAAACATATGGAAATCTGAACATTACTAATATATTTCAAATCTATATAATAAAATGTATATATAACTACTCCAAACTAGTGCAGGTTAAATTTTTAAAAATTAAGCCATGTAGTTACATAATGCTTAGAAGAAAATTCCTATTAAAAAAAAAAAAAAAGCCTGTAGTTCAGATTCACAGAAAAGAAACACACAAAAAACAACATTATTACATAAGATTTCTGCTACTCTGCAGTGTCCAAGAGTGCACACCAGAAAATGCAGAAGGATCCAAAGACTTCAAGTGGAAGGCGTCTTATTTTTTGGTTTGAAAAGGAATATTGCAGCTTTGAGGGAATATTTTTCTAAGTTAACAATCTTGAAGGCTAGGAGGTCATTCAGCTAATACAAATCAGCTGTGCTAGCCCAACAAAACGTCTATGTGCTCTGCAGCTTGTTTTTATTATCCTTTCACCCTCTTTATGAGGTCCAATTTTTTTATAAACAGAATTTTTAAGAATGACCTAATCTCTAGTTGTTTGTGTGCATTAAATCATTTTGCTAGTCATGTACACAACAGGACGGGCAGAAGTCCTCCTGGGCTGAGCCTCCAGCCCACCGCCAGCTCGTTGTGTAGTGAGGGTGGACTTTGTCGGAGGTTCAACACTTGGTAAATTCAGTAAACAGTATCCACTGTGACAGGAAGAGAGTGTTGCCTATTAACAAGAACCCCATGTGTGGTAAAGGGCTCTTTCAGTTCATGAATGAAAACAAGGAGTTACATCATTAATAAATTTGGATCAGAGGTAAGTTACGGCCTTATGCCAAGCTCCATGGTATAAATTAGACAACAAAATGGCTGGATCTTGGCAAGTTACCTTTGAGCTGGAATCAGCTGAGAGAGACTTTATTCACTAAAAAGAGTCTTGGAAGTGAACAAACTCTTTTTTCAGGACTTAGGGCGAACTTCCAAGGACCAAAGCCATGTGAGGGCAGTTATTGAAAATTTTTGACATTCCAACCACAAATGAGCCAATAAATACTTTCTCCACATGTGCTTCAAAAAGAAATTGGAGTGGGGTAGAAAGGAACTGAATTATGCTACCTTCTTTTTGCAGCCAAAACGTCTATACTTACAATGGCCACCTTCAAAATCTCAGCATCCTGGCACGGTGCCACGTCCCTCATGGTTTTGCTTACTGTGATGTCTTCCCAAAAAATGTACCTAAATCGCTATTACTTCCACACATTTTGTAGTAAACTAAAAACAGGCCCTTAATAAAAGCCTTGTGACTTTACATAAGATAGAGTGTTCATTAAATGGGGGAAAGAATAAATAAAACTTAGTCTTAACCTAAACAATACCATTTTCAAACCTTTTCAAGGATCCTAATTTGTAGTCTTTAGCAAATAAGTGTAGAATCCTTTAAATGTCAAGGAAGAGGCCTCAAAGGCAGAGGGGGGTAAAGGGGGGAACGAAGAAAACCAGCTTTTGCTTAATGACTTTTTCTTCCAGTTCACCTTACCTTTCGGTCCCTTTCTCCTGAGTGACATGGTACTGCAGGGGTGTTAGCCGCTTCCTCAGTTCCTGCTGGGAAAAGACCACCTTACAGCTCTTTTTATCCCTACATGACCCTGGAAAGAGAAAGGATAAGAAGAAGGGGGCTTTTCAGCTTGAATCCTAAATAACTGCTTGGGTTGGTCACCACAGCACAGCTTCTGCAGTCACTTGTCAAAGCCAGATTAGTCCCTAACATACAAATTTACCTGAACTGCAGCTGATTATTTCTCTCCGTTTAAAAAAAAAAAAAAAAGTTTCTCAAGATTCAGGTGACTGCATTGGAACCCTGAAAATGTGCTGTAGCGTAAAACTGCTAGCATGTGACAATAAAAACCCATTGAACATTCACAAGATGGTAATACATCCTTTATGTCTCCCAATACCTTGAAATTCTTTTTTTTTAATGAATTTTAAAAGTATGACTCTATTTACACTGTATATATAAGATGATGGGCATATTAAGTTACTCAATAATTCTCCATTCAATAATTTTGCATCTTAGTAGAGAGTAGCTGGAAACCTTCATCATTCAATTTGCATTCTGGGTGATTTAAATACCATCCTTTAAAAATAAAAACCCTAAAGATATATTTTCCACGAGTAGGAACTGTTGTTCTCTGTGATTCTGTCAAATGCTTCACGAGGTTCTGTAGAGTTCTTAAAGACAAATGTCTCTTTAAAGACCGTATCTTACCATGTTAAACAGGCAGCAAGAAACTTTTAATAGACTCCAGAAGACATTTACACTAATGTGGATTCAAGAAGTTCCAAACAGAGGGTGATAAAAGTGAGGAGGAGGAAGGAAAAGAGAAGAGGGATCGTCAATGTGATTTTATTTAAAGACCTACTTTTTTTTTTTTTTGGCAAAGCATATCTAGGAACACTTCACTGATTAAGTGTATTTGAATGGTGAAATAATTTTAATGTGATTCTAATAACAATGGCAGCTTTTATTTCAACCTGTACAGACTGCAGTAAAATGTTCAGACAACACCTGTTTGTATGCAGTATTTTATTTTACCTGCATAAACGAGTGATGAGAAATACAACTCCAGGACAAGGCAACCTGACTGGCTGCAGTAAAATCGCTTTTCTTTGCCATCCATCACAGGGGGCAAGAAGCCTGCAGATGGCCCTACCTGCAAACATTTCTTGTCATGTTTTGAAATTGCTAAAAGAAAGCTTGCTTCGTTTCCTGAATATTAAACTCAGCTTCTTTTGAAATATAGAGAAGTATGATTTAGGAGCAGAAATGCTTTCTATTACTTTTAAGGCACCTAGTGTTCACAGTATGTGAGTTCACTGGACTTAAACCAGGAGAAAACTAACCAACCAGTTACCCTGCTGGTGGGACTGAAAAGAGTATGAGCTTCCAGGTTCAGGGCCACCAAGACAGGGAGGCTGATGCTCTAGGAGAAAAAATGGAGGCAGGAAAAGAGCAAACCAGAGGCAAACAGGAAGGTGCACCTTGGCGTGGGCCTGTGGGTTGTCAGGCAGCACCTCTCCCGACGTTATACAATGAGTGTTGGCCCTGCTCTGCCTGGAAAGATCCATAGGAAGAGCTGGTTTATCACTAATGGTGTGTTGGTCTCTCATCTCGCTGGACCTCCCCCTCATTTCCCATATTACACCAGGCTTTATCCAAACATCTATTACTTAGGGTGTTAATACTTTCCAAGGGGTAGACAGAAATGTTTCCCTGAGAAGTGTCTGTCCTGTCAGAACGAGCCTCTCCACAGCCTGAATGCAACACTGCTCTTTCTTAAATTAAATAAGCAGTTGACTGTGATAGGCCCCTCTCAGTTCAATTCACTGTAGACTTCTTAGATGTTACCTTTTTGTTTTTACTTCTTTATTTTTTGGAATGGTTGCATCTTTGTTGATTTTGTTAAGTGCAAATTTAACATGACAAAATATCTTGGTTAAAATGATTTTTCGAATGGCATGGATAGTTAAAGTCTGTATAATTAGAATTAAACAGTTCTGTCCAAGATATTTTTGCTAATATATGTTCATTCATACAAAAAGACCAATTGTGTTCCCAAAGTTGAGAGAACTAAGCTACCCATCTGTATGTCATTTAGTACAAGAGAAGCAACTGCAGGTTTAAATTACATGGTATTGGATTGCAATTTCCTAACATTGGATGCTTTTCTGCTTTTTTACCTTGAGTCATTTACTAAGGAGTGTTCATAAAAAGTAGCTTAAAGCACAGATGCTTGCAAATCGTTTAGGCAAAGATGTTTCTCTCTTTTTCATTCTCCCTCTCTCAAAAAAAATCTCTCTTTTCTGAAGAATAAAACTGTTGGTCAGTATTGACGAACCATGTCAAGTATTTGTAGAAGGAGAAAAGGTAAAATTGAAAACATCTGATTGAAGTAAATAATACAAACATAAAAGCTTTACTGGTGAATGAAGGGCATTGAAGAGACTTTATTTCATAGATTAGAAATTACTTTTGATCTAAACATTGTTAAAAACAGATTATTTTCCACTATGAACCATCTCATTAACTGTGCTACAGAGACCCCGTTTTAATGGCGAGCTTTGAAAGAGGGCTGCTGTACCCTTTTGTTAGTCTCCATCTTATTTGGGAGGGGGAGAGACATTTCAGTCCAGCTTTCTTTGTTTGTCTTTCAAGAACCACTAAAGCAGTATTCACACAAATTTTGTAGGAATGTGCCCTATGTCATAGCCTACAAATTATTTGGTTTTGGTGCACTTAAAGGTCATCTTCCAAATTAGCAAAATTTTCCTACATCCTGGCTTTTCAACCTTAAATATAAATATTGTTTCCTAACTGTAAGTGAGGTTTGTTCTTTATGAAAGGCTAGTGCTTATTTAAAGTTGTCAACTTTGTACATTTTTATTCTTTGGTCATACTATGTTCTCAAAATAATTAGGCTTTGAAAGTGTACCTAATAGCAAAAGGAAGTATATGTCAACTAGAAACAACTATTGTGATTTTATATGAAACAACTCAATGAGAAGTCAGTCAGATTTTAGCAAATTTCTTGCCACATAGTTTAACAATAATATACTTCCTGGGCAATCGAAAGCTATACTATCACATTAGCTCTTTAGCATCATAACCAAAAACTGGCATATATGGGATTGGGCAAAAGCAGGTTTACAGTTGTTCATATGGAAAATAATACAATAATGAATAAATAACACAAGAATAAACTCTGTGTTTTGCCTACTCACAGCTGTAAACCTGCTTTCGCCCCACTCTGTATAAACACAGAAAGGCTTCGCTTTGTCTCTGATTTCCCTTCTTCCTATCAGACTCACTCTTCTAAAGTCCTATGGTGCCACTGCTAATTTTGAAGAAACCATTTCATTTTGAAATTCTAGAATAATTCATTGGATGGTTTCTCTTTCCTATCTTCACCTAGGTACTATCATTTTCTTATTACACAGGGCAATTTAACATTAGTATTATATGACATCTGTTCAATGACCTCTAAATTGGCTTAGAAGTATGTTATGAAAAGGTTTTTCCCTATATTTAAATGGTTAATAGAGTACTTTGAAGGCAGAAGTGAGTGTGTGTGTGTGTGTGTGTATATACATGTAACACAAAGTCTATTTGAGGAGCAATACTGCCACTTTGGTATCTAATCACAACACCATTCTCCAGAGTCACTTCGGTATAGATAAGATGCATGTCAGACCCAAACCAAGAGTATTTGTTTACTGAAATATCACCAAAGTCTCTTTTTATACTCGGCTGTTCCATGTTGCTGCCTCAAAGGCAGCGTTGTCTCGAAGCTCCAATGGGAAGCCTTTGCTCTAAGTAGTAATAAACTCACAGCAAGAGTCCAAACTCTGGCTCTGCCTGCTTCCCAGCCACGTGACCACAGGCAAGGCAGTCCCTCTGACTTTGCAATGCCACCTCACAGGTCTTCTCTGAGGATCACAGCCAGTCCCACTTAGTAAACAATGTCTGAACAAATGCAACAGTGCGTCCTCGTTCTGACTACAGCACACTCTGGAGTGAAAACGGCGCTCTAAAAGGTGGCCCAGCCTGGCATTTCAGTGTGCTGCAATCGTTCACTGGCAGATGTCATGCCTATTTTACAGGTACAGAAACTGAGGCTCAGAGGTTTACCGTAACTTACTAAAGATAAGAAACAAATAGGTATATCAACTCAAGCCCAGGGCTGTCTGACTGCAAAGCCCACGGTCATTACATTTTCTGTAAGGAAAAAGTAGGTTGCCACTTACTTCTTTAATTATGCAACAACTTTCAGCTTACAAACTATCATAACAACTTAAGATACTAAGGGAGGAAAGTTATCATCGCCACAGTACTTCCAGACAAAGTAAATACATTTGTCTATTAGCTAACGTCTGTTTTCCCTGTGTTCATTCCTTCAGCATAGGGTCAGTGACAAGGTTCAAACAGGATTCTCACAAAGTCTATAAAACCTTGAAAGGCTTTTTAACTTCCTGTTAAGAAGTAAATCAGATCTGTTACCTAAATCTTAAAGCACTTTTAAGTCATAAATCTTATATTTCAGTGTGAAAAATCAAAACAAAACCTAAAGATCCCATAACTTCAATTTTGCTTCTAGGATCAGAAAAAAATGAAACTATTAAATATTTTTCCAAGATGATAAGTAATAGAAGATAATAAGACTATCTTGTTTTGCTTCTGTTTTACTAAAATTCATGTTGAAATATCTTGCTACTATATTTAAAAATAATGTGCTTTAGTTTTCACAAATAAATTTTAAATTTTCAGCTGGTTATTAATTTGTTGAATTGGAAATCTGAATAAAACTTTATTCCATATATACAGTGTTAGGAATTTCTAAATAAGTGGGCATTTATAAAGCCATATCTAGTCCATTTTTAAAACAGAATGTAAAATATATTCCATAAACCATTTTTTCATGTTTGTTTATTTTACATGCCAGTAATTCAATAAAGGCTTTTAAACAAAAGCAAAGCATAGGGAAGAAAAGCCCCATGCTTGTAGAAGCATAACCAACTCTTCTGATTTTTTTCTCCATGTGGACCTACATAGGAAAAACATTCCTAAGATTAACATACAATCTAAGATGTC